AAATATAAACACTTATCACAAAATAACAGGGGAATGCAGGTTTTAGCAGAGACAATTAAATACTCTTTATTTGTTTAAATGTAGCTGTAATTGATTTTTTAAAAAAAATATAAATAAAAATTTTTTAAAAAAGTATGTTGACAACCAAAAATTCACACACTATATATTGACACTAGTACTAAATAAAATAAAAATCTTACGATTTAAGAATTTTTATTTTTAAAATGCGCTGAAAATATCATCTAAATATCTACTACTACTCTTGATTAATATAACTCAGAATAAATAAAAGTAATCTTTTTATTTTTAAGCGTATCCTATTTTATAATCATTGTGATAGTTTCCAATTTAAATGACCCCTTTATTAAAAAAAAAATGTGTGGTGCATTTTTTTTTCTTCTTTCATAATCTCCACAGATTTCTAAACTGTTTATCTGGCGTCTACTTCGAACCGTGCGTCATGACCACACAACCTTCAACCTCAACAGTCTTTCACGTGCTGCCGAAATCGGGGCAAGCAAAAATCGACGCAAGTCAACCTCTCATAGATATCAACTGTTCTTTACAGCAGGTTTACATCAGTTCTAACTATTCATATTTCGAAATATCGTGCGTCCATGGTGAAAAACTTTGTGATACGATAATAAACGTTAAAACCACTCAGGCTCCCAACACAAAAAAGACAATGATCATAATGCTGCAGATCAGCTGGCAACAGCCTGTTTCGGTAACGTTGGTCAACAACAGTTATGATGTCATAAGTCTGGATACTTGCAATAAATTTTCAACAAATATATATTTACTGAACGTCCTGCCCTTAAATATTATAACGATATGTATTATCTCGATGATAGTTACTCTGTTGCTAAAAAGGAAGAAATTGTGTCGAATGAGTTACATTAATTCCCATGATGTAGTAGTATACGAAGAAATTGAATCATCTTTGTATTTAAATATTTCTTTAGAGAAAGCAATGACAGGCACTGCTGACAACCCAAGCGTTGGCAAATCTGTTTGCGTTAAGGAAAATAATGACGTCAATGGAACGCAAAGTGGAGATAGAACGCAGCAAGCAGGCTCAGTATTCAGTGTGTATGTTAATTTCAAAGAAAACGAAAGGGAAACTATTGAAAATAACATTGTAGGAGCGGATCAAACACAATTGACTTACTACGTAGTAGAGCCAGAAACTGAATCCTTTTGCGACGAGCAGCCATAAATGTGAAGCTAAGATGTCTCCTCTACACAAATACTTTTTTTATATTATTTTTTTTTAAAGAATAATAATAAATTATTTCATAAACTTAAATTGAAATCCATAAAATTCAATTTTCAGTTTTGTTTTTATGAGGATTTTTCTTAAACTATATTTGCTCGCTCTTTACTTTACTATCTTGAAACTTTCAACTTTTCTATGTAATACTCCTACTCCTTTTCCTTTTTCTTTCAATAACAAATATTTATAGATTTAAAAAATCGGCATGTATCATGAGACAATATGTATATCAAGTGACTTCCCTAGGTAGTGCGGAGAATGCAAGTCGCCACTGGTAGCACACTCACATGGGGAGAAATCAAATGGAAAAAAAAGCGATCAGTGTGCTTGCAGCTTCGTGTCAAGGAGCATTTTCAAAACTAAAAATGCTAAAAACCAATGTGTACTCTTCCTTAACCAGTGTTTCTTTCAGGCTAATTTCAGATGGGTATCGGCTCTGCCCTTCAGTAGCTAGTCAAAAGGCCCCAGAAGCATAATGTGTACAACAAATAAAGGAAACTATATATGTAAAAAAAGAATAGCATGTTATTTTTTATTTAAAAATTATATTAAAAAAACTGTAACTGGTGCCAATAACTGATTACAATTATTTGAATATATAAACTATCGCTAAGCTCTATATTTGATTATCTCTATTTTTAAAGCGGCAATATTCGATTGCTCTTTTGAAGCAATGGCAACGGAATTATGTAACAGCTTGACTCAATCTTTGAGTGAAATAAAAATAATAAAAATCACTGGAGAGATATTTAAAGAATTTTTCTTTAAATATATATATTATGACATCAGGGCGCTTTGAGCATGCTAGAAAAGCATGGAGGCAGGCGCTATACAAGTAATCAATTATCAGATTAAAACTATCGTTCTGTTCCGAATATTGGCTGCTGGTGACTACGTGCCTATAAGCGGAAGCCTTATTTCCAGTTGTTGCACATATCTGGATTGTATTTATTTCTTTTTAAACTTCACAAGCTGAAAATACTTTTAAAAAATGTATTTAACTACCTTTACGTCCAAATCAAGGTCTTTCATTTTAATATAGTGCCTGACAAGAATCAAACATTTACAACCTCTTTTCAAACCCTACTTCATAATAAAAGCATGACTTTTAAAGTATGGATATGTGTTAATTATAAATTATTGTATAAAGGCAAAATGCTTTTAAAAAAAAGAAGCTATTAACATAATTTGAAATGTATACCATTAGAAGTATTTTGAGCTAGATCAATTAAAAACTTACAAAGATTAGTTTAAAAAAAAAAAATAATAATAACTTTGGGGTTTCATACAAATTTTCATCTTTTAATATAGCGGACTCATATTTTTTTTCTTTCTTTTTATGTGCTACTTTTATGACAACATTTCTTGAATGAGAAAGGAATAAAAAAATATCATCCCATATTTATGAAATTTCTAACAGATTTTCTTTTTTTAATATCAAAATACTAAAAAAATATGCCCAACAAGTTGAAGAAGTTTTATTATTACCATACTTTTTACATGAGATTTTGCATTTTAATAATAAAAAAAAAAAACTTTAAAGGAAGAATTTTAAGTGAAAAATTATTTCGATTATCATGTCGAAAACAATTTTATGTACTATTTAAAAAAATAAAATTCTCCTTCCTCCAAAGGTCAAATATTATGGTGTTTTTTTTTTAAATTGTGTTTAAGTATATCGAACAGGCCATGTGTCATTTATCCACAGAAAGTTATAGTAGTTTAAAATTCTAAGAGATGATTAGAATCAACTGAATTGTGGTGACCTTGTACTTTACTTTCATCCGATTTTCTTCATATAAATCACACATCAATAAGTGTACAATATTATCCGTAAATATCTCTTGTCCTCTTAACATAAACTACGCCATTCATATACGATTTATAAAAATGCAAGTTCTGTTCTGAAAATTCATACACACGTACAGACCTTATTACAAAACAGTTGTCATGCCCTCTTGACTCTGGTAAAATACAACAAAAAAAATATTTCAATTAGTAAAACAAATTGCTACATTAGACAATTTTTTGCGTTCCAATATAATCTAATAATGCTTGCAGTGCTTTTTGTGATGGAAACATTAAATTTTTTTTGTTAATTTTTTTTTATTTTTTTTTTTGGATAAATATTTTTGTAATAATTTTTGTTGAAAATTTACAGCTATTTAATAAATTTACCCGAAAAACAGATAATATAAATATTAAAGAAAAAAAACTATTAATGTATATAGACGTTGGGGTTACTGAAGTAATGTGCTGTTTTTTGAGGTTAATTGACAACAAAAATTATAACTAGCAAATCTTCCATTGCCCTCCAATTGATAGCAGAATGTTGTAAAACTAACTTTGGGTATTTTCTAAAATCCCTTTTTTTATTTCGATTTTTTAAATTTAAAAAAAAATAAGTTCTATAAACATGGAAGTGGCGAGAATAACCAAGGATCAAAAGCATACCCACAAGAGAGCCACAACTGGAGTAAATTGATTTCATGTCGGTGTAAGGCGGAGTGAGAGATATTCTTTATCATTATTATGGCAAAGTTGATTCTTCCCATCTACAATTCTGAAATGCCCAATGCCCAAAAATGTGCTAAAATGCATCGGTACATTTTGAGTTTTTACACCAAAGTTTACAGAACCCAATTTGTTTGACCTCCTCTTCCCCTACGCTGATCAGTCTAACTGTACGTGGTTGAATATAAACGATTGTTAAATTATTATTATAGGTGGCAACATTTGGTGTGAATTCCGTTTATCTATTGCACTGGGCGCCGTAATGTCTCCCCCCCCTTGCTCGTTTAAACATTCTTTCCCCCAATCAATAGAAATAGCGATTCCAAGTATTATCGAAAAGGCATCCATGTATTTTTAAATGTTTAAATAATTAAACAATTTCTGTGGAGGCGTCTGCACAGACCTACATTTGCACTCACTTGTACAATCCAAAGTCTGCAGCTTTTCGAAATGTCACACCTCCATGTAATTAAAAAAATTATATATGAGAACACCACCCCATTCGCCCATCTCTACGCCCATGACAAAGACGTAGCTAGTGTTTTGCCCAATGATAAAAGTTTTATTATGACGCCCCCATCATCCTCAACTCTGAAACGTATCCTTTTTATCCATAAAAACCCACAAAAGACAATTTTGGTACCTCCCATTAGTCCGGTACCCGGGGCCATCTGTCCCAAGTAGTTCCTCAGCTATGCAGTGCCAACCCCCTGCTCCCCCCCCCCAATAAAATAAATAAATTTCTCTCCCGGTGCCCGGGTGGACATTGTGAGAATGGAAAACTTATTATTTGAGGTAAATTCACTGTGGAAGCTTCTACACACAGTTGGACGTTGTATATGTAGTTTATATTTATTGAAGTGTTCTTTAATAAAAATTTAAAAAAAACCTAAAAACGAAAGAAAACAACAGCAACAGCACATCATAAAAAAAAATTGTTCGCAGTCATCAAGAAAACAAAAGGCATCCTTATTAAACCACTTAAAAGGCCTTAGTATATTTTCCTGTCTTGACAAAGGGTTCATGATTACTACTAATTTATGTCTGTCCTTTAAACCACCATGTTTAATAAATAAATTGTATACGTGTTCAGTTGAGATCAAAGGTGACTAATAATTGTTTAAGTAGCTTTAGAATCTTTTTGAAGGCGGGATGAAATCATACAGCCTATAAGTTAATCTTTAGTAATCAAATTTTTCCTTAAGAGGAAAGCGATTTGAAAAATGACTAGCTTGCTTGAAGGCGCAAAGCTATTTATTTGACTGATTTTGTATTTTTGAACTTGTTTTTTTTTAAAGCGTGTTTTTAGTATTTAGTTTTTTCATGTAAATCAAAATAGTTTTAGGGTAAATATTCAGAAATTAAATAAGTATGGACGCACAATTAGTCAAGCTTGTGCACATTTGTTTCTTGATTATTCCCACTCAATCGGGATTGACAGAAGCAAAAGTATCAGAGTCAAAAGGAGTCTTAGTTTTACATCACAGTAATATAAATATTTACTTTAGCGAGTCAGCGCTGATGGGGTAAGAATTATGTTTAAATTTATAGTTATATTTAAAACTATAATTTAATTAAAATATAAATATTTTTTTTTTAAACATAAAAGAAAATTCCTGTTTTAGCAGGGTTCATGAAATTATTTATATTTCTTTAAATTACTTACCATCCTACTTACTTATGTCGTAACACCATTTTGGGAAAATGACTTTAAACAAGAATTGTCCATTAGTTTCCAGATGTATCAATTACTTTGCTTGTCTGCATCTAGCACGTGTTTCAAAGTATCCTTAGGCATTCCTCTCTTTGATTTTTCTCTGTGGATTCCGTGTTTTCGGAGGGTGCGTCATGCCTACCTTCATCTTTTCTTCATGTTTTTTTCATCAAGATTTGTTCAACAATAGTCTTCTGGAATGTTCTTTCCAGTAAGTGTTTGTTGGTAATGGTGTTTAGCCATTTGATGTTTAGAATCTATCTAAAAGGGAACTTGTTTATGATGGTATCTATTTTCTGCGTAATCCTCGCTATTCTTCAGCAACAGAAAGCTCCATTGAGTAGGACAGTTTTTATATTTGTTATGAAGATTGTGACTTTGGTTTGCAGTCAGCTTATTTGACACACTTACTTTCTTTTGCTGCACAAATATTAACCTACCCTTTCCAATATGAGCCATGACATTCGCTTCAGATCGACCATTTATGTCAATGGTGATGTCTAAATATGTGAAGATCTTCACTTCTTTCATTGCATTTACTGCTAGCGAGATATGCTATTGGTCGGCGGATTTTACCTTCATGATATTTGTATTACTTTTATTTTTATTGAGTTCGAGCTGTGCTGAAATGATGGGTACGTCTTTAGACTTTTCCTGCATTTTTTCCTGGTTGGGGGACGAAAATCAATGTCATCTGCAAAGTCAAGGTCATTCAGTTTTCCTAGGGTGTTCATGCACTGCATCCCGTTTCTTTTTTTTTTTTTTGTTGCTTGGATTTTTTCTTTTTCTATTCAATGGCAAGGAAGAATAGGAAGGGAGAAAATCAATGTCATCTGCAAAGTCAAGGTCATTCAGTTTTCCTAGGGTGTTCATGCACTGCATCCCGTTTCTTTTTTTTTTTTTTTTGTTGCATGGATTATTTCATTATCTAGTCAATGGCAAGGAAGAATAGGAAGGGGACAAGAGATATACTTGTCTGACTCCTGCTTTCACAGGGCATCTGTACCCCATTTGTGTACCACCCTGCATTTCATTTATTCATAAGAACTCTACATGATCCGGACAATTTTCCTGTACCCAAGGTGCCGGAGAAGTTGCCACAAGGTTTGTCGATCCAAGCTATCAAAGGCCTTTCGTAGTACTACAATTTATCAGCAAGGGAGATTGCCATTCGATGGACTCTTCTACAATCATTCATAGTGTTGCAATTTGATTTCTGCATGATCTGTTTCGACTGTAGTTCTTGTAGCTCTTTCTAATTTTCATTGATATATACAACTGATTCTTTTAATATTTAAAAAAAATAAATAATAATAATAATATAAAGCTAAATTAATATCTAGAAATACATAAAATAATTTTGAAATTTGTGTTAGCACCGAAAAGTGCACTATGCATAGAAATTAATATTAAATTCAATAAAATACTTTTGGTTTCAAATTAATTTGTTTTTGAATAAGCTAAAACTGTTCAAAACGTACTTAATCCTACCCTTTAGCAATGAAAATAAATATTAATTATTACCCTTTTGTTAGTGTTTAGCTGATCCTACTCATAATCTGTGTGATAGTTTGCAATGTAATTAACGCATTTATAAAAAAAATATGTAAGGATATTTCTGTGTTTTTTCTTTGTATTATCTCTACAGATTTCTAAACTGTTTATCTGACGTCTACATCGAACCATGCAAAATGTCCACACAACCTTCAAGTTCAAAGGTCTTTTTTGTGCTGCCGAAAAACGGGACAACAAATAACAACTCAAATCAAACTTTCATGAATATCAACTGTTCTTTACATCAAGGTGACATCGATCCTTCTAACTTTTCTTATTTTAACATAGGTTGCGTCCAGGGTGAAACACTTTGTGATACGATAATAAACGTTAAAGCAAGTCGGACCTCCTACACAAACAACACATTGCTTAAAACGTATCAGATCAGCTGGCAACCGCATGTTTCGGTCAAATTGATCAACAACAGCTTTGATATTATCAGCCTGGATACTTGCAAAAAATTTTCAACAAATATATATTTACTGTACGTCCTGCCCGTAAATATTATAACGATATGTATTATCTCGATGATAGTTACTCTGTTGCTAAAAAGGAAGAAATTGTGTCGACTCAGTGACATTAATTCCCATGATGTAGTAGTATACGAAGAAATTGAATCATCTTTGTATTCAAATATTCCTTTACAGAAAACAATGACAGGCACTGTTGACAACCAATGCGTTGGAAAATCTGTTTGCGTTAAGGAAAATAATTACGTCATCGGAAGGCAAAGTGGAGATAGAACGCAGCAAGCAGGCTCACTATTCAGTGTGTATGTCAATTTCAAAGAAAACGACAATGAAGCTATTGAAAATGGTATTGTAGAAGGGGATCAAACACAATTGACTTACTACGTAGTAGAGCCAGAAACTGAATCCTTTGGCGACGAGCAGTCTTAAATGTGAAGCTAAGATGTCTCCTTTACACAAATACTATTTTTTATATTATTTTTTTAAAGGATAATAATAAATTATTTCATAAACTTAAATTGAAATTCATACAATTAAATTTTCAGTTTTGTTTTTATGAGGATTATTCTTAAATTATATTCGCTCGCGCTTTTCTTTGCTATCTTGAAAAGTTCAACTTTTCTGTGTAATACTCCTACCCCTTTTTCTTTTTTCTTTCAATAACACATATTTATAGATATAAGAAATTGGCATGTATCATGAGACAATAAGTATATCAAGTGTCTTCCTTACGGAGTGCGGGAATGCAAGTCGCAACTGGTAGCACACTCACATGGGGCAAATAAAATGGAAAAATAGCAAATTTGATAGAGCCCGCTGGAGTCGTTTTCATGAAATATTTAAATTAAATACTAGATCAGGGTGCCATCAGATCAGATTGCCACTAGAACACATTGCCACCTGAGCAGTATTCAACAAGATCGGTGATGTTAAACTTAAGCTTCTGACGCCCGAATTTGGTCATGATTTATCGGCGTTAACTTGCAGATAATTATGAGATAATAATGTATTATCTCACTTCCATTTATGTATTGTATTTCAAATCATGTTTTTGGAAACTCAATTGGCCTATCACACCCATAAAATGGCTCTTAGTTTGTTAGTGTTGTAGTGTGGTATCTTAGTAGTGCAGTATTTTTGTTTTTAAATTTTTAGTATGTTATTAGTGCGATGGTGTAGTGCAGTACATGTAGTATCGTTCTACTTTAGTAGTTTATTAGTGTAGCATTGTTGTAGTGTAGATTTGAATTAGTAATAAAATTAGAGTAATTACTGTGTTTAATGCCAATGATACAAAGATAAACAGTTATACTGGACATTATAAACCCACTCATTTAAGCAGATGTGCGGCGCATAAATTCCGTCTGTCGCCAAACTCACAATGCTAGCAACAACAAAAAAAAAAAGACCAGACACTAAAGTGTATGGTATTCAAAATTTTAATTTTTAAACAGATTAAGAACCATCAAGGAAGTACGGTAGCAGATGTCTCTCAAATCGTGCATGGTAAGAGTCTACTATGCAGCGCCTTTTTTTTTTAGGTAAATGTTCACCCTGTGCGAGGCACTCGTTCGGGGTCCCCTTCCCTGTATGGTGCCACTCTTTTTTCGATTATGACGTAGGCACGTGTTATGATGCAATAATACATGCAGCTAACCATACGTATTTTAACATTTACATAGTTCAGTTTGGTATGAATGCGATGATATGAAAAGTAAGAATACTGTTTCTCGACCCCTGGACACGAGGTTCACACTTCACTATAATAAACCAATGAAATTTAAATATTTATTGGGCACCCCATGTGACACTATGGCCACGTCGCACTGTGCGAGGACACAGGTCGCACACCCTAAAGGCCGGCGGTGTGCTATAGGCGAAAATCATCCCTTTCTAAACTGACCATTTCATACGATGAGTTACATTTGAAAATGAACTCTTAATTGAATGACCAAAGTTTCTAAGGCACCTGAAAGCAGAAGAAATTCATCTCTAAGAAGCCGAACATTGGACGTTACTTAAATTTTAGGTATATATAACTGAATAGTACTTAATACATCATTCAAAAACGTCATTCAAATACATAATTCAAATGCATCATTCAAATACATCATTCAAACACATCATTCAAATACATCATTCAAATACATCATTCAAATACATCATTCAAATACATCATTCAAATACATCATTCAAATACATCATTCAAATACATAATTCAAATACATAATTTAAATACATCATTGAAATACATCATTCAAATACATCATCAAATACATAATTCAAATACATCATTCAAATACATAATTCAAATACATCATTTAAATACATCATTCAAATACATAATTCAAATACATCAAGCAAATACATCATTCAAATACATCTTTCAAATACATCATTCAAATACATCATTCAAATACATCATTCAAATACAGCATTCAAATACATTATTCAAATACATCATTCAAAAACATCATTCAAATACATCATTTAAACGCATCTTTCAAATACATCATTCAAATACATCATTCAAATACATCATTCAAATACGTCATTCAAATACATCATTCAAATACATCATTCAAAAACATCATTCAAAAACGTCATGCATACCAGTTGTTCAAAATATATACACAAACAATTCATACAAATCTATCATGCAAGCAAATGATTGAAACACGTCATTTAAACTAATAACTCGTCGTAATGAGTCATATAAAACAAAGCTTTTTAAACCAGTCATACAAACAAGTCAAACAAACAAGTCATACAAACAAGTCCCAAAAAAGTTACACTAATAAGTCATACAGACATGTAATACAAACAAGTCATACAAACAAGTCATACTGTAAAGCATATTATGTTTACCAAAGACAAGCCTGTCGGTATTTGTTATTTTTGTTTACTTTTTAAAATGTGTTAAAAAGTTTGTTATTATAACTTTTCTTTAATGTAATCAATAGGCAAAATTTTGATTCCTTAGATACCCATTTTTTTGTTGTCATCTCATCAAGATACCAATTAACGATATACATTTTTAACAAATATTTTTATTCATTGACATTTTGAATTGTTGGTAGTACTTGGAATGTGTCTTTTAAACTACAGAATTGAGACAAAGTTGTCCGTGCTTATTTCCAGATATTAAGATATTTCAGGTTGAAACTGACTCGTCAGCTCAGATAGTAAAGAATGCATGTCAATGAAGTGGGGGAAAATCATGACGATGAGCCATCCCAACAACCAAAGTGGGACGCCAGCAAAGAATCTGTGATGCTAAGCATTCTACTGTCACGGTATATTAAGTCCTAACAGAAGATATATGCTATTTTTAAAGTTTATCCAAATAATCAGATTTAGCAATGTAAAATAAATGTTTTAAAAAATAAGAGAATGAATAGAGCAGCAATCAGACTAAATTTTATCAATTTTGAAACAAAGGAATTTGTTTAAAGTTTGAATACTGTTTAATTTTGTAAAAAAAATTTACAATATATATATATTTACAATATAAACACATACTAAAACATGTATATATATACATATGTATAAATGTCTAGGAGTTTATATAAAATATATACCGTTTTGAGTTTGCTTTAGATACCTATATATTTACTTACAACATAGTACATTATGTGACTGGGGCTATAACCCACCCCGACCCCAAGACAAGTAGGTATGTCTACAGATGTTTAGTTGAATCTCAAGGTTTCTATGTGAAGTTTTCGAATTGCTAGCCATACTTAATGTACACACGAAAATTGAACACATAAACATTTCTTTAATAACCCAAAGCATGACAGTATAAGTTCCCAATACAATCATATCATCTATAGCTCTATATGGCTGATGCACATTACACTGTTGGACTAGAGGCACTCTCTGACGACCTATAGCACTGGCACTCTCTGACGACCTATAGCAATGGCACTCTGGGACTCAAATCTCGCTTTGAACTCCCAGCGATTACTAACACTTGACTATTGTGACTCTTAAAAATTGTGTTAATAAAAAAAATCTACTCACTCTCTCCACACTCCACTCCACACTCTCATTGGTCTTGCACTCATACACCATGTATAAACATCACGTGTTCATTATAGTTGCAAGTGCAGCCACGTGACTATCGACACCATCCAAGAAAAATGACATTCCACCAAATCTCTTCAACCACATATATATGATCAGAACAAATGGCATCATCCCAAAATGCTCAGCACTACTGGCAAGGTCCATTTGAAATATTGTGTTAACGCTCAGAAAGGTGACGTAATGTAGGACAACTGAATCAGGGAAAGTGTCCTGCGACTGTATAATAAGCATTGACATCATCCGAGGCTGATGGTTATCGTGTCTGTCCTGTCTGACGGCCATGCCTTGCAAGCTTTACAGAATAGTTGCTAATCATTTTATTTTTTTCATGGGTTCATCTTTGGCGGTAAGACTAAAAACTCATCGTTCCCAGTCATTTCTGTTAACATTGAATACTTTCCGTTTGGCATATCTGTTTATGATCTCACATCAGTTGTGCTATGTGTGTGAACATGAGACTGCAAGCCAAAACAAAACTTGTAACAAATGAACACAAAATATCTTGAAAATATCTTCATTGGCGAATCAAGTTTGGATTGAAATGAATTGACCAATGATGTTATTAACAAAGAATTTATAACAAGTGGAATAGACGCTTTACTGTAAAAAAGGATAAAATCTCAAAAAACTAAAAATAAAGAAAAACTTAAAAATGCATAATTTAAGAAACAATTTTTAAAAAAAACAATTATTCATCCTCAATTTAGCTAGTATATATATATATATATATATATATATA